CAGGCGGATTTCTGAGTTCGAGGCCAGCCTGGTCTACAGAGTGAGTTCCAGGACAGCCAGGGATACACAACAAACAAACAAAAACCTTGAGAAGGATCTAGTCTAATACATTATTGCTGAACAAATCTTAGTATTTCTTTTTTCAAAGAAAAATGATTTACTCTGACTTGGATTTTAGAACTGCTGATCAAAGTTTGTGATGCCTTAAAACACTGCTTTTCCAGGTTTTGGTCACTGTGGTGGAATATCATATATTCCAAAGAACAAATGAAAACAATTCCTTTGACCACTTCACTCTCCTTTCTAATGAAAACAGGTTCTTCTGAAGACTGACTGTGTAGCTGTGCCAGATACTTTCTCAGTCTCCAGTTAGCAATAAGTAGAAATGTAGTGATTTTTCCCCAAGTAAGGTCTTGCTAAATTAAATTGTTCAGGCTAGTTGGTCTTGAACTCCCCCTCCCTTAGACTTAGGTTTCCAAATGCTGGAATTCCAGTTATCTAATGCCTCTTAATCATGGATGAGGATCTCACAGTCCTTTTCTTTCTTTTGTTTTCACAGTCTTTTCCAAAAAACTATTTTATTATTACTTACTTATATATACATGTATATATGTCTATATATGTGCTTGTGCCTGAGTAAGAGGCACCACCCTGGAGCTAGAGTTATAAGCACTTGTGAGCTGCCTGACATGGGTACTGGAAATTGAACTTGGGCAATCTGCAAGACCAATACATGTTCTTAACCACTGAGCTGAATGTCTCCAGCACCAGATTTCACAGCCTCTTAAAGTGTATTGGTATTTTTGTTCTCAAATGGAAATGTCTTAAAGGCCACACAGCCTCAATTTCAGATACTAACTAAAGATGAAAGTTTACTTATATTGGCTCAACTCTTTTATTTAGAATTATATTTGTTTATTCCTTTTTGTACTTTCTGAGACAAGATTTCACTATACAGTCCTAGTGGACCTGGATCTCTCTATTTAGACCAGGCTGGCCTTAAACTACATAGACCAGCCTGCTTCTGCCTCTTGAGTGCTGGGATTAAAGTGTGCCACCATGCCTGGCTTGCTCTTTAATGCAGAAAGAGAGAAAGAAGAGTACAGTAGAAGGCTAAAGCTTAAGTACTGGAAACCTCCTCATACCTGAGTGATCTGGCTAGGCACGATACCAGAGAGGAGACTCAGAGAAAGCATCTAGAGTGAGGCCAAGGTTGTGTTGTATTATGTTTTGTTTTAAGACAAGGTTTAATGTAGCCCAAGTGGGCTGGAACTAAGTAAGTTTGGATGATCTTGAATTCCTGTTTCTCCTTCCTCCACCTTCCAAGTGCTGAGATTACAGGAATGTGGCAGCACACCTGGTTTTACGCAGTGCTGGGTATTGAACCCTGGGCCTTACTCATGCTAAGGAAGTACTCTACTAGCTGAGCCACATCACCAGACCTTGAGGCTAAGCACTTAGAGAGCTGGGGTAATGCCATGCAACTGAAGCCGAGTGAAGAGGTTTTTTCTTTCAGCAATGTAGGCAGCATGATTTAGAATCCTTAACAGGAAGGCTCACTGCTGCAGAAGCAATGAAGCAAGATTAGGAAGCTTCTGTAGAATCTAAAATGTTTCACCAGATAGAATTAGCAAGACCCACACAAAGAATGACAGCAAATCTTCATTAACGTATGTGTTAGAGGGCAAAGTGACAGGATATGGGATTTGTGAGGGATAGAGACTCACCTAGCTCATCCCAGAGCTGCCTGCATTTGTCTGTCATGCTTGTTCCTTGCTGCCTCCAGAGTGTGAGGCGTGGATCAGCCATAAATTGCTCAGTGATAAGTGTCAGCATCCTGGCTCCATTGGAATCTCTCATCCGAAGCATCTCTCGAACCTGAAGTACAAGGAGGGGCAAGTGATTGGTAACCACACAGTATAAAAAAGGAGAAGGTGAAGGACGGAGAACAGGTTGAGAAGATGATGTACTTGCATAGTACATTTAAGAGGCAGAAAGAAAGCCTTTCAACTCTGTAAGTGAAATTCCTACATATATCAAGAAAGCCTGTTATATATAATGAAATACTTCTTTAAACACATTAGGATAGCTGGAATCAAAGGACAATGACAGTTTTGGTCTGGTAAAAGTAAAGAAATCAGGACCCATAAACTGCTAGTGAGACTTTACAATGAGGCAGCAACCTTGGAAAATACTCTATGTATATAAGAATGTTAATAGCACTCTCTTACTCTCTTGCCTCTAGATTCTCCTCGCCCTTCCTCCCTTCCCTTCCTGCTCTCTCCACGTGGTCATGGCCAGCCTCCACTTCTCTCTCCTCTCTCTCTCCTCTTTCTCCACCATCTTCTCCCTTTTCTTTCCCTACCTTTGCCCTCTGCCCTGAATAAACCCCCTCCCCTTTAAAAAAAAAAAAAGAATGTTAATAACAACCTTTTTTTAGAGTAGCCAAAAGGTGAAAGCAATCCAAGCGTCTACTAACAGACAAAGGATAAATAAAATGGATTACTTAACTGTAAAGATGAACATTTAAAACATCAGGCTAAGAAGTAAAGACGTCAGTCACAACACACACACACACACACTCATATATATTTTTATTATTTGAAAAGTCCAGAATAGGGAAACTTATAGAGACAGACAGTAGATTAGAAGGTTACTGAGAGCTAGGGGTGGGTAGGTGGCCATGGAGGATGAGAGAGAGTGTTAGTGTGGAGATGAGGCTGCCATCTGCTCCAGTTACTCTGTGTTGAATCAAACATAGCCTTTAGGTTGTGCCTTGCCCAGATTAACTCCATTTTATAAGACAACAGTTTGGCTCATGTTGAATGCAAATGCTGATGCAGAAGAGCTCCACATCTTGTTTGTGTAAGTAAATAACTACCACCTACCCACCACTAACCAGGGGCACATGCTGATAAACAACTCCTTCGTGCAAAATATGACCACCCATGAACTTAACAAATCAGGAACACGTGGGTAACATCAAAAGCATGTCAAAAAAGCAGACTTGTGAACTTACTGAACACACCAGACCAAAAGATGAGGCAATCTCCTTATCTGGGTCATATAAAAGAAGGGACACTTAATAATGGGGTGCAGGGATACCCGCCAGTTCATCAGCAGACCAGCTGACACAAAACCAGGTAATGAACTCCTGACTGTCTCTGGGGCTTCGACCCAGCAAGACCCCTCTGCTTGACAGTGCCTTCTTGGAATGCTGTTCTTTCCATCTGGCTTCTCATCTTGAACCAGCCCTGTACTTGGAACTTTCTCTGTATCTCAGAACAGTTTTGTGACTGGGATCTCATGTCAGTATCTTCATGTATGTGTACATGCACATGTGTATGTTTGTGTGGAAGTTAGAGGATGACCTTGAATGTTGTGCTTCAGGTACATTTCATCTTTTGTTTCATCTCTCACTGGCCTGGGACTCTGCTAAGTAGGCTAAGCCCACTAACCAGTGACCTCCAGAGATGCAGGATGTCTGCCTCCCATTGTGTCAGCACTGCAGCCACTTAACTGCAGGTGCAGTTTACGAACTGAACCATTCCCTCCCACTTATTTTAATATTTTTATCTCACCCCTTTGAGTGATTCTCTTTGCATGTGCCTGCTCTCTGCTCTTGACTTCAGAGAGGGCTCAATGACCTCTGTAGCTCTATTTTTATGTAGCCAAAAAAAAAAGAGTTAAATTATCTGCTTCTCTGTATTTGTACATACACACAAACACAATACACACATATATACAACACACACACATACTGCCTACACAGGTAAATAGATGATATAATGATACTCTGCTGTCAAGCCTGCTGACTGAGGTCAATCCCTGGAACCCAGGGAAAGGGGGAAACAGAACTATTCCATATGGTTATGCTCTGAGCAATAATGTCATAAGATCTGCCCTCAAATAAGTTTTAAATTAAGAAACCCTGTGACTGTAGTGTGAAGTCAGTACTACTTGGTAAATCAAGACCAACAAAAGTGACATCAACTATGAATTTATTGTTTCTTTTTTTTAGAAAAAAATAAATTTGATGTTGTGGAAAGACAAACATCTCAGTTTGTTTCTGAAGCAGCTCACTTACATCTGGTAGGTAAGGGATGAACTTTCTTTCCAAGATGATAAGAATGTTAATTCAGGTGATGACACTATACTAAATATGTGTGAATATACCAACCCCATGCTAGCAAGTGTTCTACCACTGACCTGTATCTCCAGCCAATATTGTACTGGTTATATGTGTAAACCATGTAATATATGTTATATCTCAGTAAAGGTGTTAATGGAAAGAGGAAAACAAACGACAAAAACCAATCCAGCCTGCCTGGCACGGGCACCTCCAGTTTCAAAATCGTCTCTTTTGGAACATTGTTGAGAATCTAGTCACTGATGCTTCATCGGGCAGCTTTTGGGTCACAGTAGAGGGAAGATGGTTCCTTGCTAAAGTTCTCCAGCACTGTGTGCTCATTTAGAGAGTAGAGAAATCCAGACCACCAGAAGGAGAGATCCATGAAATAACCTGATTGTGAGGCTCTGCTTATCTTCTCCTGCTAGGTTTTAAGCACAGCTAGGTGAAGTAAGCCAAGTACATACACCAGAAGGCAAAAGTGTGGTACACACAGTTTACTTAATATTTGAAAAGAAGGAAGGACAGAGGGAAGAAGGGAGGGAAGGAAGGAAGCCAGGAGGGTGGGAGGGAAGGAGGCAGAAGAGGAAGGAAGGAGGGAAGGAGGGAAGGAAAGAAGGAGAGAAGGAAAGAAGGAGGCAGTCAGGCAGGCTAGCTTTTTACTTCTTACCTTGGCAAACATTGAATTGAGCTGCTTCCCAGAGCCATAGTAACCCCCCTGGGAGAGAAAAAGCTTCACTTGTTCTTTCACCTGTTCTTCATCCAAGTGCCAACAGTTCTCATCGTTGATGCTGGCCCCAGCTGTGGGGTCAGGGGCGCCTGTGAGGAATAGGAACACTGTGAGCACATAGATGCAGGTAGTCAGTGCTTTGCAACTGTGTAGCACTTCAGAAATGTAAGGTGTATGCTAGCTTTACATTCACAGAAGTCACATGAAGTCTATGACTACTGAAAAGCCTAGAATAAAAATACATATATTTTGATGGGTAGTGGTGGCATATGCCTTTAGTCCCAGCACTCAGGAGGCAGAGGCGGGTGGATCTCTGAGTATGAGGCCAGCCTGGTTTATAGAGTTCTAGGACAGTCAAGGCTACATAGAGACCCTGATTCAAAAATCAACAAACATACACATGTGCTACCGTTAAATATACATTTGGCCTCTGTTCTACAGTTCATGGCATACAACTATTTTTTTAAATGATTTATTGATTTATTTTATGTATATGAGTACACCATTGCTCTCTTTAGACACACCAGAAGAGGGCATCAGACCCCATTACAGATGGTTGTGAACCACCATGGTTGCTGGGAATTGAACTCAGGGTCTCTGGAAGAGCAGTCGGTGCTCTTAACCACTGAGCCATCTCTCCAGCCCAATTTTTTTTTTGTTTTTGTTTTTTGTTTTTTTGTTTTTCGAGACAGGGTTTCCCTATGTAGTTCTAGCTGTCCTGGAACTCACTCTGTAGATCAGGCTGGCCTCGAACTCAGAAATCCGCCTGCCTCTGCCTCCCAAGTGCTGGGATTAAAGGCGTGCGCCACCACTGCCCGGCTCATACAACTATTTTTAAAAAAAGATTTTTCAATTTATGTGTTTGTGTGTTTTGCCTAACTGTATGTCTGTATATCACGTGTGCAGTGCCTAGAGAAGATAGAAAAGGATATCAAATCCTCTGCGACTAGAGTTACATCTAGTTGTTAGCTGCCATGGGAGTGTGGATATCAAACCCAGGTCTTCTGTTGAGCAACATGTATTCTTAACTGCTGAGCCCACCTCCAGTTATGATACACAACTTTAAATTCCCTGTACTTTACTTTTCTTTTCTTTTCTTTTTTTTTTTGGAGACAGGGTTTCTCTGTGTAGCCCTGGCTGTCCTGGAACTCACTCTGTAGACCAGGCTGGCCTCGAACTCAGAAATCCGCCTGCCTCTGCCTCCCAAATGCTGGGATTACAGGTGTGCACCACCACCGCCCAGCCCCCTGTACTTTTCAAAGTGGTGTTTTTCTGTGTGGTAATGAGTTGGGGATGACACTTGAGAGAAGCTAGACAGCTTCAGTATTGGCTCTGCTCACCCAGGCAGAGAGTTGAGACATTTAGTCCCACATGTCAACCTCTAATAACAAAAGAGTCCTAAAGGCTATGTTGTTTGCCAATGGCTAGTGATTTTAATCAATTATTATCTATTGTCTTAGTCAGGGTTTCTATTCCTGCAAAATATCAGGACCAAGAAACAAGTTGAGAGGAAAGGATTTATTCAGCTTACACTTCCACATTGCTGTTCATCATCAAAGGAAGTCAAGCAGGTCAGGAAGCAGGAGCTGATGCAGAGGCCATAGAGGAATGTTACAGGATTACTTCTCCTGCCTTGCTCAGCTTGCTTTCATATAGAACCCAAGACTACAAGCCCATGGATGGCACCACCCACAATGGGCAAGGCCTTCCCCCCCATCACTAATTGAGAAAATGCTTTATAGCTAGATCTCATGGAGACATTTCTTCAAGGGAATCTTCCTTCTCTGTGATAACTCCAGCTTGTGTCAATTTGACACACAAAACCAGCCAGTACATCTATGTAATAACAATTACAAAAACAAAAACAAGCCCAATAACAGAATTTGCAGAGCTTCTGGAGAGTATAACATGAAGGAGGGTTCTCAAGAGCAGTATACCTGGAGAAAGTCGGAAGCATGGTCTCTTGTAGCATATGCTTTGCCCAATATATTTTTCAGTTGTACCTTTGGTAATATTATAATGAACCTACAAATGTAAGTAAAATGTTTCCCTGATTCTGTGACTTAACCCAGCAAATTAACTGAACATCAGGAGAGGAGTGTGGGAATCTTGATTTATGGTCAGTCAGCCAGCTAGTTAAAAGCTAAAACAACCTGAGGCATGAGGCTGGCATCTGAAGCAGGGCAGAAGAGGGGAAGAGTTTTGAGCCTTCAACATGTAGGTATCACACCATCTCCAGGTAGTTAGTATCAAAAATGAATTATATTAGAGGCCATGTTGGTGTCTGCTGTGAAACTGGTTGGTTGCTGTACAGGAAAAGAAAATCCCTAAAGAGTTGATCACAGAGGCATTCTGGGCTGTATTCTGAGGCTATGAGAGGGGAGGCTCACTCTGTTTCTCCTTTGTATCTTCAAAACACAGGAGGAAAAATCATACCATTTCCTCCCTAGGAATGTGATATTACTTTGCCTTGACCTCTGAAGTTCAACTTTCTATTAACACACATATATTATTTTTAAAACTAAATATATTTTCTTAGAACATAAAGGTGTATTTTTAGCTAGGTATGGTAATGTAGGCCCCTGGTGGCAGGAGAGTGGCCAGGCCCTGAACTACAGGGGGGGAAAAAAAATGAAGAAAAAGCTCAAAATCAAGCCAAAAAAATCCCGCCAATCCCTTATCTTGCCCCAAGGTCAAGTCACATAATCCCTCCAATCCCAAACTACTTTGGAAAGCTCCACCCTGCAAGAAACCCTAGGAAAAGCCTGCCTCTGCTCAGTTTTCTGCTGTTTCTTGCCCATCCAAGCAGAGGCAGCCATCTGCTGTGCTTTTCCCTTACAATAAATCTCTTGTGTGAGGTTTGTTGTGTGGTGTGGCTTTGTGGTATTCCTTGGCTCCTAACCACCAGAATACTTTTTCCCTTTTAGCTGTAACAGTGGTGGTACATAATATGTAATCCCCAGAACTCAGGAGGTAAAAGCAGAAGGGTCTGGAGTTCAAATCCATTGATTAAATAGTAAATTTAAAGATAGCCTAGGTTACATGAGACATCTCAACCAATAAATATGTTCCATCGTATTTTACCATAAAACTACTTCCTAAAGCACAACAGAGCTGTATTTGTGGTGACATGATTTTATCCACGTTGTTCTTTGTATCTGGGCTTACTCAGCAAAACCACTTTACACACAGTTGCAGTTATTCACTCAGACATCTTCCCTGAAAGTTTGTTGGCTTCTTGCTCGAATTTCAATCTCTAGCTAAATTTGGGTGAATAATGTATTAGCATACTGCTGGTAACTGTTAAGACAATTCTTGTGGACATGCTTTTGGAATGTTTTGGAACTGATTTGGTAGCTTGGCAGAGAAGGAACTGAGATCAATTAGGTTAAGCCAAGGACTGGGTTTTGGGGTACTTTGGGCATAAAGAATGAGGAAAGAGTAACAGTAGTGGTCCCAAAGCAGAAGGCAGAGGCAGCTGGACCAATTATCATCCTATGTGATTCAATTAGAAAATGAAAATGTAGAATTAGGTGGTGGCTCATGCCTGTAATCCCAGCACTTGGGAGGCAGTACTTGGGAGGCAGAGGCAGGCGGATTTCTGAGTTCGAGGCCAGCCTGGTCTACAGAGTGAGTTCCAGAACAGCCAGGGCTATACAGAGAAACCCTGTCTCATAAACTACCCCCCCCCAAAAAAATGAAAAGAAATAAAATGCAGAATTAGGAGCCTGCCTAAGAAGAGAGCTGGCTTTAATCAACTGGGCTAGAAGTATGGAATGATATCATCTCTCAGGATTTGAGGAGGTTTGAAGAAAAGTAGGAAACTATAGAACACTATGGATCCTCATGGTCACAGCAGTTGTGAAAGAAATCAGGCCCATTAAAAATATCTAAAATATCTAGTGAGGTTTTACAGAATGAACTGCTAGAATAGAGCTAGGTCACTGCAAAGAAAAGAAGAGAGTAGGTTGACATTTAGGCAAGATACAATAGAAAATTGATGTGACTGTTAAGACTATTAGTCATCTGAAAAAAGCATGAAATGGCAAGAAGCCCTACAGAGGGTGTGTGTGTGTGTAAGACATGGTCTTCCTATGTTGACAAGGCTGGCCTCACTAGCCTCAATTCCATGACGTAGACAAGGTTGAATTTGAATTCTGGATCCCCCTTCCTTGGCCTCCCAAGATTTACATATGTGTAGCATCATGCTCTGAACCACAGAATATTTCCATGTTTTTTAAAAAAGACTTATTTAGGTAGATGAGTGTTTTGTCAGCATGGATGTCTTCATATCAGAAGAAGTCTGTGCTTATAATTCCAGTTATATGGGACTACAGTTATACAGGTAGTGAGCTGACACGTGGATTCTGGGAACTGAACCTGGGTCCTTTGGAAGTGCAACCAGTGCTCTTAACTACTGACCATCTCTTCAAACTCAATATTTTTGTTTATTAAGCAAACATTTAGACAGATGCAGTACCTCTAGTCCCAGCAACTTGTGAGGCTTGGGGAGGAGGACCTCTTTGTTCAAGAGTTCTGGCTGGAGCAATATAGTGAGATCTTATTTTAAAAACAAAACAGGACCAAAAAAACAAAAACAAAACAAAAAAAATTCTAATTTTGCCGGGCGGTGGTGGCACACGCCTTTAATGCCAGCACTTGGGAGGCAGAGGCAAGTGGATTTCTGAGTTCGAGAGTTCGAGGCTAGCCTGGTCTACAGAGTGAGTTCCAGGACAGCCAGGGCTACACAGAGAAACCCTGTCTCAAAAAACCAAAAAAAAAAAAAAAAGTAGGCAAAAGCTAGTTTGTGCAGTGTTTTACACATCAGAGTGTGGACTTCATCCTAACAGTAACAGGAGAGCACTGCAGTACCTTCAGTAAGAAGCGGTGCAGCCGGCCGGCAGTAGAGCACGTCTTTAACTATAGAACTCTGGAGGCAGAGAAAGGTCAATCTCTCTCTGTGAGTTAGAGACCAGCAGTTTGGTCTACAAAGTGAGTTCCAGGACAGCCAGGACTACATAGTGACACCCTGTCTCAAAAACAAACAAAACAAAAGCAAAAACAAACAAACAAAATGGTGTGACAATATCTGTAGTTATATGTTAATGGTTTGTATAAGCTTGGCCCAGGGAGAGGCATGATTAGGAGGTGTGGCCTTGTTGGAGGAAGTGTGTTACTTTGATGTGGGCTTTGAGAGTCCCTCTTCCTACCTGCCTAGTAATCAGTCTTCTCTTGGTTACCTTTAGAACAAGATGTAGAACTCTCAGCTTCTCTAGCATCATGCCTGCCTGGATGCTGCCATACTTCCTGCCTTGATGATAGCATACTGAACCTCTGAACCTGTAAGCCAGCCCCAATTAAATGTTGTCCCTTATAAGAGTTGCCTTGCCATGGTGTCTCTTCTCAATAATGGAAACCCTAACTAGGACAGTCATAGGAAAATCACTTGGGATGGTTCTGTGAAGGAGAGAATAAAGGGGAACAATATGGCAATCTAGGTGAAAGATTTTGCAATGGAATGCATGTAGAAAGAAAAGATGTTAGAGATGAATACAGGTTTGTGTCCATGTCTAGAGCACAGTGCTGATCGTTGGGATGAAAAGTGAGCAGAAGAATAAGCAAGTCTGAGGAACTTAACTCTAGCCAGTGTGCAGTTCAGTGGTAGTACACTTCCCTAACATATGAACGGACCTCAGTCCATCCCTGGCACTGCCCAAAATTAAAAAGGTAAAAGAATATAGACTATACATTCACATTTGGATCTACTGATCTTGGGATGTCTCTGTGATATAAAAACCAGGTGGATATATAAAGTTCACAAGAGCTGACCAGAAAAATGAATCTGTGTGTCATGATAAATGGATAACATCTGAAATCAAGGGTTTAGCTGAAATTGTCTATAGAGATCACAGAAACTGAGGTGGAAAAGATTAAAAAGTAATGCCCACTGGCCAGGCAGTGGTGGCACAAGCCTTTAATCCCAGCACTTGGGAGGCAGAGGCAGATGGATTTCTGAGTTCGAGGCCAGCCTGGTCTACAGAGTGAGTTCCAGGACAGCCAGGACTACACAGAGAGACCCTGTCTTGAAAAACCAAAACCAAAAAAAAAGAAAAAGAAGGAGGAGGAGGAAGAGGAGGGGGGAGGAGGAGGAGGGGAGGAAGGAAGGAAGGAAGGAAGGAAGGAAGGAAGGAAGGAAGGAAGAAATGCCCACATTCCAAAGTCAGACAGAGGAGAGGAGAGGAAAAACTTAGGAGTTAGTGAGGAGAACCATTTCAGTTAGGTAAGCAATACCTGAAGTTTACAAATTAGCTTCCTTGGCTGTCCATTAACTCTCAGTTCACATCTATTGATTTAAATTTAAATTACATTGAATTAAATTGTTCTTATATAGGTTTGTTGGTTTGAATAGTTTAGCCTTCTCATAAAAAGAATGAGAATGAGGTGACTTACCTTCTGGTAACACAACAAAGTAAATGACACTTTAGTGTGATAGTGAGTTCTTCTTCAAGGTGATAGGAGAAGATAAAATGGAAGGGGTATCTTTCATAAATAATTATTAATCAAGCCACAGACAAAGCACCCAATTAGCTAAATAAGAAATATCACACCATCTCTTATTTAAAGTCCTCTAATGGTCTACTATTACTATTAGAATCAATCCACTCGAAACCATTTCAGGAACTGGCTTTTTCTCATGACACATGTTCTAAGGGAGCTTTGAGGTCTAAGGAACCAGTTCCCTGACTCCTGTTCCTTGAGTAGGAGCTATTGTAGCTAAAGTTGCCATTGAACTTGCTGCAATGTGAGAATGACCTGAGTTATTGATCCTTTTGTTCCCAATTCCCAAGGACTAGGATTGGCCAATAGGTGTGGCAACTGTACCTGGTCCTTAAACATCTTTTTGAACTATAAAAGTAGCACATACTTACTATAGAAAGTATACAAAAGCATTTAAAAAAACTCACCAGTCATAGTTTACTGTTACTAATGACTGGGCCATGATGGTGCACGCCTTTAATCCTAGCACTGGGGAGGCAGAGACAGGTGGATTTCTGAGTTCAAGACCACTCTGATCTTCAAATTGAAGCCCAGGTCAGCCAGGGCTATACACAAAAACTATGTCCCCACACCTGGGGGGGCCCCCGCGCGGGGGAATAAGTAAATTCTATTTTTATTCCAGTTCTAGGGACTGGACTCAGATCCTTGAACATACCAGGCCAGAGCTCTATCACTGACCTACATCCTCAGATGTTAAATATTTATTATAATATAAATTATAGAAACTCTACAGTGGAGAGCTTTTGGAGCTGCTTGGCAGGAATCTGACACTGGCTAAGGACAAGAAAATGGGCTTCAGGCAGGAATCTTTGGGCCATGATCAGGAAGTAATTTCAGGCAAGAAGCTTAATCTTAGGCTAGAACAAAGAAGTAGGGTTCAGGTATGAATATGACTTTGGGCTAGAACAAAGAAGTAGGTTGGGCTAGGACAGGGAAGTAGGCTCAGATATTTTGGTCATCCAGATAAGCCCTTTGAAACAGTGATTAGGGGACTTTGTTTATTGCCTTGCTTGTTCTTTGACTACTTGTGTTTATTGTCTTGCTTGTTCCTTGACTATTATCTATTGTACTGATAGTTCCTCAACCTAGGACTGACCTTATTATTTGCATGTAATTAAAATGGGATAAAAGCAGATTGGGAAAAAATAAACCCACCTCAGCCTCAGAACTGGCTGGGGTCATGCTACAGTGTTGTCTAATTGTTGCTTTCCTTTTAATCCTCACTCCTACACTGGAGAACCTGTTGACTGACTGAGCTGGCTTGGTCACCCTACAATCTATAGCAAAGATTATTACATAGTGATTAATACTGTGTAACTACCAACAAAGGTCAAGAAGTAGAATGCTACCAACACCCCAGGCTAAAACATCTATGAAATAGAAATGAACTGTTTTCAGAAACTAAAACATGCCTTTAATCCCAGCATTCAAGAGGCAGAAGCAAGAGGATCTCTATGAGTTTGAGGCCAGCCTGGTCTACAGAGCAAGTTCCAAGACAGCCAAGGCTACACAGAGAAACCCTGTCTCACTCCCACTCCCCATAAAAAGAAAAGAAACTAAGAGTTAATTACAGTTGTTTGGACAAAATAAGTTGAATAAGGTTAAATTATTACAAGAGTAGAATAGTTCCAACCTCTTAAAATACAACACAGTGGAAGGGAAAAAAATATTGCTTTTAATAGTAGTTATGAAAAGCTAATTTTTTAAAGTCAAGGAATGTTAAACAATTACCATTCACTTGGTTGATTTCTGAGTTGGAGGACAGAATCTCATCTGCCAGCTTTTGTGCAGTAGGAAGAACTTCAGTGTGGTGTGCTGTGATTAAATACTGAATAAACTTCTGTAGCTGGTCCCTGTTCATCTGGAAAAGGGTTTCTGAGATAGGAAGACGAAGTTTGACTTGGTCTGGTTTCCGGATCCTGTAGAGAGAGAGTGCTACCACGTGAGCACAGTAGAAAATGTCCTTATTCCCACATCCGCAGCTCACAGAAGTGATTTTGCATCGATCAAAACTGATTGCAACTTTGTAAGTCACTGCTGGTTCAGAAGCAGTGGCTGGTTCCGTTACTGTGCCACTCAGATGGAAGCCTAAAGAAACAAAGAAAAACATCCTGTTTAGAGAGTCTTTAGGGCTAACCAGTTAATCAAGTCACAATTCATCCCGCATCTTCTTCTATACAGGTAGTGAGATCTGCTGGATGACGACAAGCTCTGTCAGTGAAACAAGTACTGTCCTGAGGGAATACACAGTCTAGAAACACTATCCTTTATCTTGGAGTGAATCTCTTGGACTTTAGATATCTTGGATTATAAAAACTTTTTATATACTTTTGTACATATTTTCCTGGAAAGATAGTTCATAGTTTTCATTGCAGTCTCAAATGTTTAATAAAGAACTCTTTATCTTTTTTTTTTTTTTTTTTTGGTTTTTCAAGACATGGTTTCTCTGTGTAGCCCTGGCTGTCCTGGAATTCACTTTGTAGACCAGGCTGGCTTCGAACTCAGAAATCCGCCTGCCTCTGCCTCCCAAGTGCTGGGATTAAAGGCGTGCGCCACCACCGCCCAGCAAAGATCTATTTACTTTATGTGAATACACTGTAGTACTTTCATCAGGCACACCAGAAGAAAGTATGGGATCCCATTACAGATGGTTGTGAGCTATGGGGTGGTTGCTGAGAATTGAACTCAGGACCTCTGGAAGAGCAGTCTGTTCTTAACCACTGAGCCATCTCTCCAGCCAATAAAGAACTCTTAAATGTTAGAAATAATTCTTGTAGTAGATTTTGGACTTAAAATGGTGATAAGGACAAGTCCACAACAACACTAGTACAATATAGAATCCTGTGAGTACTGCAGATGAGAGGGAAAAAGAATTCCATGGGGGAGAGCAGAAAGAAGAGTAAGTATGCTGGGCGGTGGTGGCACACGCCTTTAATCCCAGCACTTGGGAGGCAGAGGCAGGCAGATTTCTGAGTTCGAGGCCAGCCTGGTCTACAGAGTAAGTTCCAGGACAGCCAGGGCTACACAGAGAAACCCTGTCTCAAAAAACCAAAAAAAAAAAAAAAAAAACCAAAAAAAAAGAAGAGTAAGTATGTTTAAGGACACTTCATCCTTAAACACACAATTCCAAAATGGTGGCCATATGGAACAATCAAAAAAGCAAGAAACCCAAGATACAGAAAACTCCATACAAGGAGTTATATAGTACTACATCTCCATTCACAAGGTCTCCAACACCAAGAAATGTGGAATACACAAAGAATGCTTTATTTATTTTTTTGAAACAAGGTGTTGTGTAGTCTAGGATGTCTCTAACTAACTCCGGAGTCAAGGATGACCTTGGAATCCTGATCCTCCTGCTGAGTCACTGTGGGAGTACAGTATGTGCCACTACTACCAGGCTCAAACTACCACCAAGCACTATCAGCTGAGCTATCTCTTCAGTTGGAATACGGTGTTCTCTTAACAAAAGAAGTAACAGAAACAACACCGAACATTGCCCAAAACTTATGGGGAAGACCAAACTGCTTTACAAAGTTTCCTAGGTATCTCTGTGATGATTCTTCCCTTACATTTTCCTCAATGGCACACACCTGGAAAAACCAAATCAAAACAACCCTAAGATATCACAAAACCGTTCTATCTACTGAGCACTCTAATGCCCAAGGACTTTTACAACTTTTAAGGGTTAATTTAGGGCTAAACTTAAAGGGTTAAGCTTTGACAATAGCATCTCATACCAGTTGCAAAGCTTGAAGGATGATGGGTAGACTGAGGACAGGCAGTTAACAAGAACGTGTACTATTTACTCAACTAATGGTTCTAGCAGGCTATAAAGGCCAACATCCCTATTTCTATTCTATAACAGGTCTGTCTTTTTGGTGCAAAGTAATCAGGAATGGTGGACTCGCAGAGACTTGTTTCTTTAAGGGAATACATATATAAACTGTTGCTCTTGTTTTATCTCATTCACATGTACAAGTTTAAAACAATTTTTGAAGAGAAGCAAAGGCAAGTGGATCTCTGTGAGTTCAAGGCCAGCCTGGTTTACATAGAAAGTCCCAGGAAAGCCAGGCTATAGAGAGAAGACCCTGTCTCAAACAAAACAAAACAAAAACCTCCAGCCAATTTTAAAAAAATCTCAAATACTTTAATAATGAGTGGACCCTGAATAAAGCACCAAATACTTTCAAGGAGTTCTTGTTTAGTTTATAAGTAGTATATTTTCCCTCAAATCACAAAGCAAGCTTTGACATGAAAAAGAAATGCTTTATTTCAAATTTCTATTCCAACCTGTGATTTAGACTCCTCTACCAACCCTACCTTTTATTTATTTATTTATTTATTTATTTATTTATTTATTTATTTATTTTTGGTTTTTTCAGGACAGGGTTTCTCTGTGTAGTCCTGGCTGTCCTGGAACTCACTCTGTAGACCAGGCTGGCCTCGAACTCAGAAATCCACCTGCCTCTGCCTCCCAAGTGCTGGGATTAAAGGCGTACGGCACCACTGCCTGGCTACACCTTGTTTAAAAATACAAAAATAAAACCATATCATAGTCCCTTCTCAATTATATATCATGATGTCTCTGATATCTCAACTTCTAGGAAAATCACTGGCCTTTTATAGATATATGCATGCTATGAGTTCCTTCCAGAATACCATCTTTCTTTACCTTTAACATGCACCAAGTATCACTTGGGCAAGAATCAACAAATGAGTCAAACCCACAGTGGTGGTACATGACCGTGACTGCAGCACTCGGGGGTCAGAATAGAAAAACCATGAGTTTGGGGCTAGCTTGGACTATATAGACATTGAAAGACTTTGTCTCAAAAACTAAAAAACTAAAAACCATCAAAATCTCCTCATAAGGCAGGGACAGTGTTGAAAAAGTACTTGCTAGAATTTGCTGTGCTCAAATATGTACTAAACACTTTGTTGTAAACCCATGCATAATCCAGATGTAGTGGCACACACACACATCTATAATCCCAGCACTTGGGAGGCAGAGGCAGGTGGATCTTTGGGTTTGAGGCCAGCCTGGTCTACAAAGTTAGTTCTAGGACAGTTAGGACTACACAGAGAAACCGTGTTTCAAAAATCCAAAAAACCAAAAACCAAAACTATGCATAACTGGTGACTTACAACAGGTGTTGTTCTCCTGCTTATTATACTGACTGGCAGTACAAATAGCAATAGAAAGGGTCTGAGAATTTCCCTCAACATTGTTCTCATCATTAAACAATCTGCAGAGTCCAGAAACAGACTGAACTCAATCTTGAAGTAAATAGAAAATACTAAGGATGATTTTCCATTTGGACATATAAATACCTAATAGAATAGGATAGGCTAAAATACTAGATAATGTTGTATATATGTGATGAAACTTTTCCAAATAAGGAAATCCTATAGTCTACATTGCTTAGCTCGAATATCACTTCACACTTAACCACCTGGTACTTCAAGTCGTTGAATCATTAGATGAAAAAGCTTTAGCATTTATGCCTGTGGAGTTTATATTCTATTTTACAAGAAAGATTTTGTCCAGAGTCAAATAATAAAGACCTAAGAAACAATCACTTCATTGATTGCCCAGAACAGTTATGTAATTTTCATGATTATAACCACAAGAACAAAATCTGAAATGACCATAATTTCTGAAATATCTTAGGCTTTAAAAATTAGAACAGATTTATACTTTTTATTCTTTAAAATCAGTGTACTTTCCAAATACAGTCAATTGCTTAGTAACCCCCTCTATCCTGCCAGTACTGCGGATTGAACCCAAAGCTTTATGCACTCTAACCCTGAGCTACAAACCCTAACTGGTTCTTTTATTTATCAAGAAATAATTTTTAACTTTTTAAACATGAACACATGTAGCCGGGCGGTGGTGGTGCACGCCTTTAATCCCAGTACTTGGGAGGCAGAGGCAGGCGGATTTCTGAGTTCGAGGCCAGCCTGGTCTACCAAGTGAGTTCCAGGACAGCCAGGGCTACACAGAGAAACCCTGTCTTGAAAAACCAAAAATAAATAAAATAAATAAAATAAAATAAAATAAATCCCAGCACTTGGGAGGAGTGCGCCACCACCGCCCGGCTAATTTTTTATTTCTTATAGGAGCGTGTATGTGTGCATGTGTGTTTGTGTGTGTGTGTGTGATTGGGAAAGATGCAATAGTTCTGTGTGGTCAGAGGAAAATTCTTTGGAGTCAGTTCTCCTTCAGCCTTCCTATGGGCTTTATATGGACTTAGGTACTCAGCTTTCATGGCATATGCCTATACCTACTAAACAACCTTACCAGCCTACTCCCCCTTTTATTGAAAAAATCATGTCATTTCCACATTATCTTGTATTTCTGGTACCTAAAACAAAAACTAGCATAAGATAAATATACAAATGTTTGCTGAACACAAGTTTTGAATCTTTAACTGTCTCATCACTGATCACAGGACAGTGCAATGTGCTGGGATCTCTTTCAAGCTCTCAGACTTGTTCCCACTACACAACACACAAACACATCAGGCTGACTGCGTGGTTCTTTACCATGGTAAGTTTCTCCATTGTCTTTGCCTTTGCCTTTATATATGACATTCCCTATACCAACATGACCTTTTCTGCCCCTTCTTATTCCGAGTTCTCAACTTGCATGATATTTACTCAAGTCTTCCCTTATGTCTTTGGACGCTTAGCAAAGTACTTCTTCAGAGTTCTCATTTTTCATCACTTTTATCTTTATTTGAACAAATGACTATCAGTGTAATTAATAGTTTCATGTTTGTCTTTTCCCTTGAGATTGTGAACTCTTTGTAAACAAGGGTTTGTTTTCATTTTTTTATTTTCAGCTGGCCTATTGTAAGGGCTTAATAAGTATCTGTTTACAGACGAATGAGTAAGTGAACACTAAATTGAACCTTTATATATTTGTATATATAATTCACAGAGGATTAAATGTGTTTATAAAATTCTCGATTTTTATGATTAAAATATATCAGCAAATTAAACAATTTTACTGGGATGAAGAACAAAGTAACAGGAAATTATATACAAAGTTAACTGACACAGTCTCCTCCTGCGTCAGTGCA